TCCAGCATACTGGCGGGATTCACACCAATAGCGTGATGTACTAGTGGTTTAAGTCAATGAAAATGCTTAACAACTCGGCCGAGGACGCTCCAATCCCCCTCCCCCAAAAGGCAAGCAAATTATAATAATAGTAAAACAATAAATATATTATAAAACGATGGCCGGCCGAAGTAAAACTAATTATTATGTTATTTGTAAGTTTTGTACCTGACAATAACCTCTGTCAAGGTAATAATATTAATTTGCTCATCATACACATCACTATTCTTGACGTGGCTCTCACATTTAGTACATTAAGTTTATGTTGTTTTGCCAACTCAAAGTAGAAAGCTGTACATATGTCAAAACAAATAAAAAATATCTTTCCAATTACAAACAAAAGTTAAGGTGAGAATAAATTTAATGTAAAAGAGGACTTTTATGACCGTTAGTGTGTATACAACAGGATGACTTAAAAATGTACAATGTCATGTTAAAATGCTGATAGCATTCAGATAATGTTACTTGCAAATTTACTTAGAAACCAGGTATATAATTTTGTTGATGACTTTTTAAAATGTGTTTACTTATAATGTGTAGTGTTTAAAACGTAAAATATAATCTCTGTTTGTACTCAAAAGATGCTATATTTAAAAGATACTTTAATGCAATTATCATTATTTTCAAGTATCAAATTTGAGCATAATACTCGTAAATCCTTAAATTCGGTTGCAGTTCCAACATTTGGCAGCCGCGAGTTCAGCATTTGTTCCATGATAAATATAAACATGTTATTAATTAATTCATTTATCTTTGGCATCACCTTTAATTATTTCGTGGTCAAGTTATACCCCGAAGATTATTATATCATTTAACAAAGATATTATCACGAAACGTGTTTAATATGGCTATAAACTGTACATTAACTCGGCTTTGACGAAGTTTGTCTGTATGTTAAGTAACTCTAACTTGGAATTAACAAAACCAGAGCCTACACGTTATCATTTGCGGAATATATTCGAGGAGTCACTTTCGTAACAATGTCTATATCATAAAATGTTAGACTTTCGATAGGGAATTTACTGAGCAGTTGTTTAGATCATTTCTCTTTTAGTATCAAAATATTAACAAACCAAACACATGCATTAAACAGGTTTATTTCATTTATGCATTCAGTTGCTATTGAGACATATAACAGAGAAATGGGTACATAATATGCTTTCTTCTGTCTCTCGAACTTATTATTTTTTGGAACGTTTGCCACAAATTCAATGAAGGGTAGTCTAGATCACGGAACGAGCATAGCAGTATCATAACGAAAAATTGCAAAAAATATGAAAAACAAGATCAACAAGGAAAGGCGGCGTTCAATGAACGCAACCCCCATATGACCCAGCAACAAGAACCAATGGCAAGGAGCCCAGGCGGACCCCAAACATAAAAAGGACAGGGCAACGACACGTTAATCAATAAATGATAATGATGCTAAACTGCATCTCTTAACATTAATAATCGATAACGTAACACCATATCTTTGTGTAACTCAAATTTTAGCATTTCTAACTTATCATTGGAGACAATTAAATTGTGTACGCATGTAGTTGTTTGAAACATTTCCGTGATATATTTCACACAATATAAACTTTGCCAGTTGTTAGTAATGCGCAGCCATAAGCGTCCTGAAATAGGTATGGACACCCTAAAAAATTGGAATAAAGACCAACAAGATAAAGCAACATTCAAAGAACACAGCCCGCGACAAAATCCAGTCTCACTAACAGAGCACCCAAAAGGCACCGAACTAAAAATAGGGAGACACAAGGGCCATGAAAGGAGGGGGATACGTAATAAGTAAAATAATAAGAACTAAAAAGGGCCAATACGGGAATTAAGGGACAAGGGGTGTAAGGGAAAAATGAGGGATAGGGGAGGGAGTGGAGTAGGGCACAAAACGGAATAAAAGGGTGATGGGAAGAATATACTTAACTCATATTTTGCATTAACGGCATGCATGACTGTGTTTTGTATGGATACATTTTAAGAGTCTCTTCTTGGGTTCAAACTCGAAAATAAAATGTGAATTTTTGATCTTCAGAACAAACAAGTACAAAAAGACGTGCAAACATGGCGAATATTTTCTAAAGATACAAATATTAACACATTTAATTTAATGATGAAATGCATAACTAGAGGCAATCCAATATTTATTATATTTAAACAATATTTTATTTCAATCACACAAATATAATATATTTATATAACATACGAGTATATGTAATATACAAAACATGATATTGGTAATTGCTAAATTACATCATAAGCCAGGGAACCATATGTAATATATCACCAATAATCATTTTTAGTCCCCTACCGGTTTACCGGAGGGGACATTAGGTTTACCCTCCGTTCGTCTGTCCCATCGTCTGTCAGTCCGTCTGTCCACAAAACTGGATCCCGCGATAACGCAGAAAGTACTCAAAATATTTTTATGAAACTTGAAATATGAGTAGATGACAGTCTGGAGATTATGCACGTTTTTTTTGTTTCTTCCTATGTTGAAAATTCTGGTTGCTATGGCAACAAATAGACTGAAAATATAGCAAATTTTACACATAAACTGAATCCAGTGATACTCAAAAATTACTGGAAATATTTTTATGAAACTTGACATATGGGTAAATGGCAGCCTGGAATTTATGCATGTCTTTATCTTTTCTTCCTATTTTGAAAAAATTGGTTGCCAGGGCAACAAATAGGCTTAAACATGGCAAATTTAACAATATTTGTGATTAGTCAAAAAGAACTGAAAATTTTTATGAAATTGCATCTTAATTTCAAGAGTTATCTCCTCTTTAAGAATTTTGCTTTTAAAAATGTTATATTTTGGTAACCGGGATGTTTCAAATATTTAACTTTAGAGTGTCCTTCAGTCCGTTCAATCCGTCAGTCTGTCTGTTCATAACAAACTGTTTCCTGTGATCACTGTTAAAGAACTTTTCAAACAAATTTACTTAAAATAGAGAGAAAAGTTGAAACATTAGTGAATGGCCAACGGCCCCACAGAATGTTGCTCGGGTTCTAACCGGTAGGGGACTTATGGATTGCTTACAATACTATGATAATTGCTTGTTATTATTAATAATTTATTTTTCTGCAAGAATCCATTCCTCTGCTAGGAGACAGATGCACTTAGCGTTTGATATATTTCTGTGTCTAATAGGTGTAGTAGATTTTTCTTTAAGTTTATGTATGTTATATCGCAGAAACGTTCTGAAGACCCTGTCTGTGTAGTCCTGCAAATTAAAGATAAAGATGAAATAACTAGATTCATAATTTGTCTGTCATTAGTCGTTTTCACTCTTTTGCAAACTTAAATAACGTAAAGAATCTTTAAGACTAAGAAATACTTTCAATTACCAGTCCTGTAAAAAGTAGTGCAAAACTGGTGCAAGGTGATATTTGTGATTTTTTTAATTTTACATATTATTATCCCAAGAAATATCTCATTATAAAAACAAAGGTCCACGTGAGGTCATGCAAATCTAATCTAGTGTACATTCCGACACCCCCTTCATAGTGACTATTTCTCGTCTCGCTACTGTACATATCACTAGGAATAGTCCATATTCTGGCAAGACGAACAATGCATATGCGTTGTTAAGAAATAACGCATACTGTAGCATGTAAATGAAACATACACAAACTAATTTGTCTTATATATGTAAAAGACCCATCCCCCAAATAAAAAGAACGCAAACACAACATACGATTGTTCTGCATGTCTTTTTGTTAACGACACATGAAGGCAATTATTGCCTATTATCTAGCTAACTATGCTTTACCTCATGCAATTCGTCTGTCTGGATATACTTGTGTAAACGCGATATCTTTGCAAGCTTTTTGGTGAACAGCTCCTGCAAATGTGTATTTGGTTTTGTCATACATTTATTTTAATTTATTGTAATAATATCTTAATAGTTTTTCTGGTTCCCTGCTAGTATGTTTACATTAAGGGTTTTAACAAAAATGGAAAACAATCAACATAAAATTCCGTTTACAGAAAATATTATCAATTTATAAACATTTAACGTACACAGTTCGCAAAATAACACATTATTTTCGGGAACTGCATATTGAATTCGATTCTTATACTTTCATATCTTTGACACGGTTTTAAAGAATTTACGGTCTAATATATTTAAAATTTCGACACGATTAAGAAGAGCTTACAGTAAAAAGCCTTTTAACTGAATTTTCAAAAAATAAGACAAAATACATACATTATGCAACTTTGAATGAATAATTAATGAATGAAAATTATTGCGAACATTTGCAGCAGTGTTATAAATTATTTACAAAATATGATTTCTTAAAACATGTATTTTATACCTTGCATGGTCTCCAATTAAATTGCATTACATACAATGTCTGCAATTTAAGTTAAGGGAAATAGGAAATAATAAATTAAATTTAAATTATTAAAGATGAAAATCATTTTTATAATTTCATTTGTAAAGTTATCAACATATGGGGTATGAAATTGATTGGTAATAACTGGTATAAAGGTTAATGTAAGAATATGTAAAGAATTTCCTTACCAGCCAAGTTAGTAACATTTTTAAGAACTTAAAAAAGGATACATCGTCATCAAAGAAAACAAAGCGTTTGTGCACATCATCAGAATCCAAGGTAATGTCATCCCAAAGGTTTTTGTTAAGTCGTCGCCTTTCCTATTGTAGTAAAACAATAAAAAATATAAACATTTCTTTCGAAAAAGGAAAATTAAACATGTGATAAAACTTCAAACATTGGTTATGTTCAAAATGTAAAGCATGTTTGCAAGTCATGTATTTTGATACAAGTACTGACAAATGAAAATTAAAATTTTTAGAAGAAATTGAGAGATTTACAAACAAAATATGAACGTTTTATTTCCATTATCTTAAGATATCAAAATGTTGTAACAGTTGTAAGAATTTATCTAAATAAAGGTAAAGTAAAACTTAATATACAAAAAATACCTGAGTTATAAAGTTGTTAACGTAATTGTCTGAGAAGACTTGTCGTAAATTACTCATTTTTTCAAACTTTTTAAAGTAAGTGCAATAGCTGCAAATCCACAGCAATATTAAAGCTGGAAGTAACACTGCAAGTACTATTCCTGCTGGCGTGATGGATTTTTGTGGCATTTCTGTTGAAGTCGCCAACAGCACAACTAAGAAGATGATCATGATCAGTAGAAGAAAGAGAAATACAACTATAGCAAGACTACAGCAAATGGAAGAAGAATGTCCGTAGATGTGCTTGTATTTAACAAGATGTGATTTGTTTACCATTTCCTCAATCTTTTCCCACTCATTGTCTTGCACCTTAAGTATAAAAATACAATTGTTGTCATACAATAATATTATAAAACATTTTACTTTTGAAGCGTCTTAACAATTGCAAGTTCTGTCCAATGTAAATAAAAGGTGATATCATTTGAATGTATACACAAACCTAATTCATGTTCACTCAGTTTATTTTTTCAATAAATACAATTGAAAGAAATTCTGCAATTATTAATCTCTTTATATCTTCATGATATGTTGGAACAAAATGCACCCACCAATTATTATACAATTTTTATTAGTCAAAAGCAATCTTACATGTAACATATTGGATAACGACTCCTTAGCTTATGTTTATTGACAAAATATTAATAATATAATTTAAAAATGTTTTTCTTTAGGCGCTCCGCAATTTTACCACTTTGGTTTAGACCTCATGTTGGTCTAAATAGATTGTTTAATTGTTATGTACTTTCCGTGATACATTATTATATTAATAATTAATATATTACAATCATAACATGGTGAGTTCGCAAATCAATTATCGTAGTTTAATCATTTAACTGCAGAATAGTTTACATACTTATATTTCAGTGCTGAAATATGCACATAGCTTACGCATTTATCAGTTAAGAAGATAAATCCAGAGACAATTTGAAAATTCAAAAGTGTGAATGGAAATCATGCTAAAATGGCCTACATCAATTTTATAAGCAATCAACCGATTTCTGGCCTCCGAGATATTTTCAAGCCTGTATCTTGCAAATGTAAACATGTTTCTTTTGTATGGCTTCAGCTGGATTTCAGCAGTTATTCCATTCAACTCTGAAAGTTACAAAGTATATAAAATTCATTTGGATATTATTTCAAATATTCTACAATCTTAAATATTTATACTTACAATAAAGGCATTGACACTAAGATTTTACATGTATATATATCACTCACACGTTTAGACATTCTAAAATGATATTCAATTGTTACTTGACATTTATTTAGACATAACTCCTAACATGTTTCACACTACTCACCTTTAAACAGATAGGGCAGTCAACACCATTATTACACGATATATGTTCTTTTAAAAAATGAAGGCTTATACGTCGTTTAATGTCAGAAATATCAATATACTAAATGACGACAGGGAATCACTTCCATGCTCAATGTAGTTCAACGTATCCATTTTCCTTTAATACTTGCATGTTAGAATGGAAATATACATTAATTTTTCTTGCATTATAGTATAATAATGCACTGTTTATCGTTCAAATGCTTTGCAATTAATTACTCAGGCCTATGTTGTATATCTTTAGTTTGGAGTTTTATTAAACACATTCTTACCTGCTTTTTCTTTCTTTATTTCTAAAAGAAAAAAAAAGAAACACCTTTACAAAAAAGAAAGAAATAAAACGTATGGAGCAAGTAATATTATAGGTCATTGTGATTTGTTTCAACTTTATATTTCCAGCGACGCTAGTGCAATATTTATGTAAACATTAATAAAGGACTATATAGACAGCTAGCTCGTTTGGAAAATACAACTTTGTATGTTAGTAGTAACATAAAGTTACGTTTCATTGATATGACTGTGTGGTAATTCATATACGTGTAAATTTTTAAAAACCCGTAATCAAATATTTAAAGCAAATAGTTGAATATGGTAATTACCTCTGTCAACCAACGCCTTTAATATCTTTTCATGAACTTGGCCTACCGGTATATCTTCAGCATCAATATAACTCGTTGTTGTACTGATATTGGGTGGTACCACGCATGGCTCTAGTTTAAGAGGTACCAACAAGAAATTCTCATCGATATTTAAGTGAAGTGCTTGAGTTAATTCATATTTACAAAATTTACTTATATTGAATCCTTCAGTAAGCACTAACAGCATACCGGCACTTCTTTTCATTCCATCATTTGTGTTTTCAATTATTTGTTCGCCTGGTATGAAATCCCGGTCACTATAATAACATTTTATATCCATTTTCTCAAGATTGTCAACAATAATCCTAACCTGATCTGTATCTTCACTGCAATACGACACAAACAGATGAAAATCCTTGTTTGCTGGTAAATCTGGAGCTTTAGTACGTGTAGTACCACAAGTAGCCATTTTATTATTAAACTATTTCTTTACAAAGTTGCAGAAAAACTATGATGGTTTAAACTTCAAACCTTTATTTATTTACAATCGTAGCGGTTGACTACTATACAACTCATTAACAAATTAAATTTCAATAATTTAAAACATATATTGTATGTAAAACAGGTTTATGAAAAATCAATTGCATGTCAATACGGATCTATAACTTAATACTTAACATGTCTTTGCTTTTCAATATTTATAAATACATATTGATTTTCAGTGTTGAAATATACCACAACACCACAGAGATAAATAATATTTATATAAAATTCTAATTTTTTTACTAGGGCTTGCAATTTAATTTTTTTATTTTACTGCGTCAACCTATGACTGTGCAAAAAGAAATAGGAAGAACATTCTACAGATATTAAAGACCTTTTGCAAAAATTCTGACTCGTAAGAAAAGATTAAACATGCAATGTACACCTTGTAACATTAAACATTATCAACATAAAATAAATATGAATTGTTTAGCATTTATGTTGTATGCAACTTTATGATGTTTAAAACATTAAAGAACAAATAAAATGAATTTAAGTGGCATTATGTTCATTATTTACATTGTCAAATACAGAATACTTAAATTTACATTTCTAAAGATTGACTATTATTATGGTCATCGAGCAAAAGTTAATACTATAAACAGTTAGGATTAAATACAAAAACTGCGTGCACTCTTTTGATCAAGTGAAAATTATAGATATATTCTGAAGGGCATTTACAGAATTCGCCATGCACTACTTGGGTTATTGATTATAGAGAAATAGAGAAGTGAAGTAGAATACAAATTAAAAATCAATTAAATAAATAATGTCACTTTAACAAAGTTTGTAGCACAAGAGCATGATGTCAAAAAGTAATTTAGGTTTGTGATTGTGAAATACAAATATTTGAAAATAAATATATAACCTTGTGCAAGTTTGAAGTACCATTTTCGGTTTGTTAGAAAAGGTTCTTGTCTTATTTCTAGTTTCTCAAATTAACACCGTTTACATACTTAAATGACGAGTTCTGAAAATACCAGTTCAAGGGAGCATGGAAGGACGATTGCATAAACTAATGTCGACTTATAACATGCCTAATCATTGGGGACCTTCAGGATTTTACATCCTTTATTTTTATTAAGTTTTCATTCTTACTATTAGTTGTGTGCGTTTTAAAAATACTTAAAATACTTATATCTTTGAAATACTTATATCTTTGAAATACTTATATCTTTAAAATACTTATATCTTTAAAAATGCTTATATCCTTGTTTGAAACACTGAAACTGATAACATCATAATCACATACATTAATAACACTCTGATATATGTTGAATCATTATATAACAATTCTATTTAGGGCTGTTAAACATTTGTTTCCTCCTCGAAGCATTTGTTTATATGGCTTCCGTCGGCCAAATGTAAACTTAATGTGTCCAGACAGACTTCAGAAGGTGTATCCTCTGATACCGTCCGTACATTCATGTCTTCTTTCTTCATATGTAATAACAGAATGTTTGGTTTTATGACATTTTTATCATGCTGAAATACATATAATTAAAGGGTTAAATGTTTGTTAAGGTGAACTTATGAGTCAAGGTAAGATTTCTATATTAATATGCTAGTATTAATATTTAAAAAGAAATCCCGATTTTTTTTTCGCAAGCATTGTTCACAAAAAGGTAAATGGAAATCGCAGCCTCAGTTTTATTGAGTCTATTGTTGAGTGCAAAATGGAAATTGCAATACGGCTCCTAGCTCAAGCTGGAGCGGTATTAACTCTTTATTTCATTTTTCAAAAGAATTGCCAGTTTCCTTCTTTAGCAATAAGAAACAAGTAACCAGGACAGAAACAAACATAACATAGACATGTCCTGGTACGACATGATATAAGATACGTGTTTTCGTTTATGACTGCAACGCATTCACATTCAGGGTCCCGTTTGCGAAAGGCATACAAGTATAAACAGGCAGAATGACATCAAGCCTGCAATTTTTATCATTTTTGACATTTATTTTTCTCGTTTTCAAAACTGCTAATCTCTTACATAAATGCTTTCAAATATAGTACATATTAAATAATAGGCTGTAAATAAACACAATTGTGAAAAGAATTGGTTCGATTACCTGTGTATATTGACGGCATATTCCTAGGAATTCATTGGTTTCTATCAGTAGAACTCGGCAATTGACAAAACATAGACACGTCAACACACTCAGAAATATTAATGAAATAATTGTAGCAGTCACATTAAAACATCCATTAAACCATTTATATCCTTTTGGGCAATGTGTTAAGCACTGACCATCATGTTCAATATACGGATATTTGCATGAATATTCGTATATACATTTTTGCTTATCTTTCTGGTAAAGCTTATTGTTTTCACAACGTGATAAACATCTATATTTGCTTATCTGTCTATATGAAGAAAATAAAAGGTCGTCCGAAGTATCAACTATTAATGGACTAGAGCGTGGACATGTATCGACACATTTTAAATCATATTCATACTCTAATTCTTCCGGACACTTTGCGGTACAGATATTACCATGTTGCAAGGTCCAATATGGACATTTAGATAAACACGTCAATCCTTTATGTTCTAGATATTCATGAAAAACGCTGGCTATACTAAAAATATTCAGACTTGAATTGATCACAAGTTTGCTAAAGGGAGGACATTCTTCAACGCATGTAGTATCTAGAATGTATTTGTATTTTTCGGAACATTGTGTAGAACACTTATTCATTAAATGGACTGTTTCATTTGGACATTTTTCTAAACAGCTAATACCTGTAGATGTTTTGTTTTCATATTTCTCTCCGCATGTCTTATTATGGCAAAAAATACCATCAAGATAATTTTCTTCTGGAGGACAATAATTAGTACATTTCATATTTGTATCGACAACTTGCTTACTATGACATGTTTTGAGGCACTCGTACCTAACCACAGAAAAGGTTTTCGCAAGCCATCCTACATTTTCCCCTGTTGTCCACAAAGTCATTGTCATTTTTATCTCACTATTATACAGATATAGTTTCGGGCATGTATGCAAACAACTTTTCTGGTGTAATGCAGCTCCCCTAGAGCAACTTGTTGAGCATTTATTAAAATTGATGACCGTGCCGTTTGGACATTCTGTAACACACAATATACCTTTAGATGTCTGTTGTTCATACAATTTACCACACGTGTTATTATGACAATAGTTTCTATCTATATATGGATTATTTTCGGGACAGAACTTTACACACACATTTTTGCTTATAAAGTCGGTGTCACAAGAGGCCACACACTGAAACATCGATATCTTAGTAGATTGTCTTTTTACCGTTGAATAAATGGTTAGCGTACGTTCTTCTAGCAAATGACGTATGCGTGGGCATTTATTAACACAAAGGTTTCCTTGATCAAACATGAATTCAGGGCAATGAGGAAGACACATATTTCTGTGAATATATGTGTTTTCTGGACAGTTGGCCATACAAATTAAATATGAGTTTACTGTATCTTTTATGAAATGTCTCACAATGAATTGTTTATCAATAGGACATTCCCTTACACATGTTCTTCCGTTCCTAATATATATTGAAGTAAGATTCCAAGGCACTTCAAAGGAGTTTGACAATTCAGTTTCCATCGGACAATTAACAACGCATGTATAATTGAAGTATAATGTTTCATTACTGCAGTTTTCTACGCATTTAAAGACAGACGTTTTCACATAATCCTTTTTCCAAACTTTTCTATATTGTCTGTCAAAATACTTATACAAAGTACTCCAAATAAAATAGTCGACATATGTTTTCTCCACATATGGTGATAGCACACCACACGACTGTAAACAAGTGTTATTTGCCAAAACTGTATTCACTGAACATATATCTACACAAATATTTTGATGTACAAGGAAATACTTCTCGTTTGGACATTTTCCAACGCACGCATCATAATAAAATAATTCGGAACATATGTTTCCAAATATACAATTTCTGCCAATTGTTACATTATTTATAATTGGACTTTGATCTGGGCATTTTTCTACACAAGTTCTATTGAACGTAAGTCTTGGATACTTTGGTACACATTCATTATTAAGGACAAACTTATTTTCCTTTCCACAAACGTCCACACAGATTTTAGATCCATCCAAAAGCTTGTCGACAAACATGAATTCTTTGGAACAATTCGCAACGCATGAAGTATTTTGTAGAATTGGTAAATGCGATGGACACGAGGAAACACAGGTTTTGTTTGAATCAAACTTTCTCTCGAAAGGACATTGCTCAACGCATCTATTTCCATCCATGAATTGGTATGTTTGTGGGCATGTGTTAACGCACTGCCAGTTAAGTTGCCTTTTGTCTACCGGACACGAAGATACACAATAATTGTTGTTTTTTAAATAAGGACATGTTTTAGTACACTTACGATGGAGAATATTATTACCTTTTGTTACATTTATAAGATATGAAAACTCATTTGGGCATTTTTCTAAACATGAATCGTTTACAAAATAAGTAAATCCTGCTGGGCATGCTTCTACACAGGTTCGGTTGAATACTAATTCTGACCACGCACACGACTGGATACATTGCTTCTCTAGATATATGTACGGATACCAACCTATTGCCCTAAGTTTCTCCTTAATAAAGTGATCTTCTTTGCACTCCGGCTGACATACTCTGTTTTCATCAGTAAACCAGCTACCACAGGTTACATTACAGCTGGTACCATTAATAACAAAATCTTGCGGGCATTTAGCTACACAACCAGCGTCGGTCTTGTAAGGCTTATATGAGGGACATTCTGTTTCAGGTCGGGCGGAATTGATCTATATATAAAACAAACAATTCTGGTATATTCAAATACTAATATGCCATGTGGGTTGAAGTAGTTAAACTAAATCATTAAGAAAATAAACCCATAAACATATGTATTTCAGATTCGTAATTATTTTTTTTAAGTAATTGATATTTCAAATATAATTATATGAAAATAAAATAAAATAGTGATTTTTATGCATAATGTGGGTTTGGCTGACAATAATATGTGTTCACTCAAGAAAATTAAAAAAAGAATCAGTGAATTGATTTGCGTTTAAAGGTGAAACTCCAGTTGGTTAATTTTACAATCGATATGTACATTAAACATCGAGAATAGAAAGCACTTATAACAATTAATAAAACAAGCCGTGTACGAAGTTTTTTTTATATGACTCAATACATGCAATAAATAAATAGATTAAACAGTTTTACTTACGGTTACTAATATAAGGAAAGTTGTCAGCAACCATTTATTATCCTTTGTCAAGACAATTAATTGTTCTATTTTCCGCTGTACAATAATCATTGTTGTAAATCTATGAAAAAAACAACAACAAAACAACTTATCTATAGCAAATAAACGTAATAAACATTGAACGTTATGATTACACGTAAATCAAACAGTTAAAATATACGCTTTATGCTTTTCAAAAGAATATGAATTGAATATGATTTCTATATGAATTCAATTGATTATTGATTTTTAAACGTCACTGCATTGTACAATAACTCAAATCGTTGCTGCACAAATTATTACATAAACTTGTCCGTGTTGACATTTAAATGCAAACAGGTTTATAAGTAATAAATTTAAAAATTAAAAATGATCTGAAATTGTTTGATAAATTGATTTCATTATTTTGAAAATTTGCAAATATGAGATCAATAGGAGACCTAAATCATATAAAACATGAATGACGTGTCTACTCTACGCCAGTCATTTGAAAAATAAAAGAATAATACACTTTAGTATAATAATTTTTTCCTAAAAACGAAATATGTATACTTGTTGTGACATTGAGTATATAACACTTACAACTATCAATACCAAATATATTCTTCTTTCACATTTCAAAATGGTGCTATCGCATATCTACATAGTAAACAGAACACAATACTGTTAAAAATGTCGTAATTCAACTCCAAAAAAGCTAAACATAGTGTCCATTTATCATTTATTTATTAAACTTATTAAAATATTTACTCAGGCAGTAGAAAACAGTTTACTATAACAGTAAATAAAATATGGCTCAAGTTAACATCATAAAAGAAAGTAAGACAAAATAAAAGACATTGTTACACAAATACAACCTAAAATATTAAGCTATATTTTGTTATTATGCAACCACGGAATGTTCCAAATCTTTGCAATTTAATTTGTAAGCATACAGATTACTAGGTTAAAAAAAGCTAACACAGCAGGAGAAATAAATTAAATTTCAACAAAATTACAAAGATTGTCTTTTTTCACTTTACAATAATTTTCCATTCCAGATAGTTGCATATATTCCATGTTCTGTACAGTTGACTAATGATAGTAAGTTGTGTAATAGTATTACAACTTAAAGTTTAATGATAACCATTCTTATCTATTTTAACTATTCTTATCATCAATGTTTAATTTTTTCTCTTCATTAGTTCCCTCGCCTCTCTGACGGAGGTCATTAGACAAGAACTTTATATGTCTTGATTTCAGCTAAGTTTCTTTTTCATGTTTGTTATCAAAGCAAAACTTGCATTAATGTGTGTCAGATGACAAACTAATTTCAATGTTATTAGGCGAAGCATTAGAGCTGAAAAAACAATTTAATATGCTGAAAGAAACAATATCTGCGGAAATAAAGGAACTGAGAAATGAAAATCAGAGTCTAAAGGTAAAATAAACAAAACTAGAAACAACGAGGCTCATTTCAATACTTACAAATATATTAAAATGACAACTAGTGCTAAGTCGAGAAGGCGTAAGTATAACCATTCTTAATCTGCAATCTAGAATAATTGTACAAGTTTAATATTTTTGGACGTGAATTCTTCATGTAATGATTTAATGAAAGAACTGTTTGTAAATACTTAGTGGTCTTAAATTTGTATACTTCACAACAGCAAGTGTCAAGTGCTGTGTGGCAGCCGTAAAATGTCGCCCCGTACTTCACTTCAGTGTTGTTATATTTTACAACACTTTTAAGTGTTGAATATTGAGTACCATCGGTAGGGAACCTGAGGGATTTTGGCACTTTTATTATCCCTTATATTCAGACTCAATCAAACCGAGTCTGCATTTTTATGTAATTTTGTTATGATTAATGATTCCGAGGAATCACACTTTTTACAGATTTTTATCATTTTGATTTATTTCCAAATTAATATTTAATCGTAGCAACTTGTCACTAAACACTTTTCCTTGATGTTGTTAAACAATGATTTCAACCACTTCGCCGCGAAACAATTATTTGATTTCAATAATGCTAACTAAAAAACATAATCATTTTTATAGTAATTCAATAATTTCTAACTTGAAAGTTTCTTCAAAAATGTTTACAGTTTTTATTCACTTTGAATTAAGTGCATCAAAAAAAAATCAAGATAACTCAACGATAATAATAAAATATTTTGTTTCTTTTTATGCATATTTTCAGTCCTTGGACTTCAGGCCCAACAGTGCCAGTGTCGTTCCAACGTTGCATTCTCTATCGGTTTAGCATATCACATTTTGAACCTTGACAACTTCTAACTGACAATGGAACCTACTTCTTTACTGCGACAACAATGGGTCATCATTGAGAGTTACATAGAGACAGAAATCTCATTAAATGGGAAAGGACTCGTTAACAAGACTCCCACCATTAACAAGGGACAAACTGTTATTACTTTAAAAGCTGGTGATATGGTATGGATAAGGCATCGTGGAATGGAGGGCAATAATATTTTTGATGACCAATGGAGCACGTTTGGTGGTTTTCAAATTAACCGATAAGTTAAATGTGCAAAAGAAAGAAAACAAATAAAACATGTTAAACTAAAGCAATTTTAGACGTTCATTTCTCCACGCTTTTGAATGAAATGATAACAAAAACGTTATCTGTCACAAACAAGTTTTTGCAATCGCGAGTTGTTATCATATCAGTCTCATCACCATCATGATGTGACATCATGTTATCTTTTTCACAATTGAAATATCAACTCTATAAACTACTCATTCAAACAAATAGAATAGAGAAAACAGATCCCTAAAGAACACTCAAAACGACAAAATTGAAAATGTTGAAGGCTCGGTTAGATTGAGCCTTTGCATAGACAGTACTGGAACGTGTAAGGAACTGTTCACGCCCCCTAACACTTAAGTAAACTTCGAAAGCAAAAGGAATCATGAAGGCATTGTAAACGAATTGAGTGATGTTTAAACAACAGGGCGTTAAATCTGTCAATGTCTATGAACACGTAAACACGATGTATCTCCCTTTGGTGATAGACATTCAATATGCATCTATTTAAAATACCCTAAAATGTATTATTGTCCGGAAATAATAAATCAAATAGAGGACACAAGACACTTGTGAATTATTATCTTTATAGATATTTAATATGTTTCTTTTAAGCATATCCCGTGTCGCGTTTACTATAATAGTTGAACTGAAAACATTGTCAACATAATACGCTAATTATAGTATATTGAAACAAACATTTACTTTTAGATTTGTTTATCAATATAAATCATTTACTATGTAAATGCTTTATATCAGTTTATCCGTGAAAGATTCTTTCATACTATTTATATCATTACATCATAATATAATAAACTCTCATTTAAATCAGGCTATCGAACATGGATATGGACCAAACTAAATTTTCAGTATAATTATCTTTAAAAAGAAAATGGATGACTTAAAAAATTATTACCAGTTAAGGTATTTTTTCATTTAATTGTATACTTATTTCTACTGATTGAAGAAGCTTTATGAATGAACAGTGTATTTTTATCATCAAATTATGAAACTATGTCAAAATAAAATTTAATTTTGCAGAATATATCTTGACTGTTTGGTACATATTAGTATGCATTTTCTGTTTAAAGTACGTAGGAGTATATTTTCAATCTATTAAATAACCTCGCAACCAATACGTTAATTATTCATTATAAACAAGATTTATCAGGCTACCACTTTCTTACTACTTGACAGGTACAACATTTTCAAAACAGCATGACATCTTAATATATGTCAAATAATAACGTTGCAAAATAACATAAATATCTCTGAATGTTTCAGTTTATAGAATATATTCTGATATAGTATGTGATATTTTACAATTCATAGTTTATTTAGCATAACATTTACGTAAATGCTATTTGGAACAGATAAAAAAGAGCAGATGAACATAATCAAAGCTTAAACTAGAATTATTGAAACAATACGTTTGACTTTTTAAAAGTTATATATCATTTTGTTCGGCGTTCTCTTGGGTCCTCGCCTGTAACTGAAACAAGTGAAACTAGAAAACGCGACACCACGTAAGCACGATTGTAAAAATATGAAAGTGCAATGATGAAATTGTGAGTTCGTAATACATATCAAAAACATTTGAAAAAAAAACACTGTCAGTATAATTCTGTTTCATCGATTTTAATAAAATTTTAATAAAATAATTTCGTATGTCGTGACAAGATTTCAATGACATGTACGAGTATGTACCTTTCATTGTCACACAGAAAAATACTCAAAATGAGTCAGCAATTTTCACCTCGTAATCTGATTTCGTTCTCTCGGAGGATTTTTTTAGAATTGAGCGCATAATTAATGACGATAGGTCTCAACAAGTGCTCGCTCGTGTTTGAAATAGTGCACAAAGGGGCACCCGAAGTCCTCCACCAAACACTTGTAAAGTCGACGTGTGACTGCGATGTTTATAAACTACGAACAAAATGTCAACATAATAAAAATATTTTCAACAAGACCTATAAATTATTTCTTGCTGAGGCGTTTTTTTTTTTTTTTTGAAGATGTTTTTTTAACAACCTCTTTAAAATAGATTTATAAACTCATAAATTAAAAAAAAACGAATCTTTAGTTAAAAGAACTCGTTACAAATCTTTAAAGGTCACATAACATATCTACATTTTAGATGTCCAGGATGTTTAGTTTTTCATTCTATAAAGGCACATTATGCCTCAGATATCCATATTTTCATGAGTTTAATTATGTTATGAAGTGACATTATGCCCATGCAAGGGTAAATAGTGAATGAGTAAGTAAAGGTAAAAAAAAGTTGCTATAAATATTGCACTTTTATCATTTATTTTGCATGAACGATGAATAAGCCAGTGGCATGTTGTCCAAGGAAATATCGGAATATTTACTTGTAACGTTCAATATATAAAAAGAATGTAACAGTCTTTTTATATTATCTAAATCATTTTCATATATTAACTGTTCAGCATTATAGCAATAAATTCAGCTCAATTTGGTAATGAAAAAATGAGCATAATGCAACTTTATTAATGGACATGTTCGATGAAATGGATGAAATAAAGAAAGACAGAAGCCCAAAAGAAGGTCCAAAACGGCAAAGTTGTAAATGTTGCAGGATCGATTTGATTAAGAGTATGTTCACTGATGGTAATGGTTAATTCAAAATTCCGCTCTAACCCCTGGCAACGGTTTTAGCGGATTCAATGGAGAGTAAAATGGAGGATGAAATTTTGATTTGAGTCTGCTTTAATAATGATACAGATATCTTTTGTTAAAGAATAATTATAAATTATCATAATTGTGAACAAAGCTTATGTCATTAATCAAATAGAGGAGAAAGTAATCCCGAAATAATTCCTAAAACGACAACACTGAAAATGGTGCAGGCTCGGTTTGATTGAGCCTGTTCCTGGATGGATCTGAAACGTGCAAACTATCATCCACATTCCTTAGCACCGGTTAAAGCAAAAACTCTACATTTTATCTTGGTCATGGTAAACTTTTGATTTCAAAAACATCCGAAATTAAAAAAAGATGTATGTGTCTTAAACATAATGCTAGCATTTTTTAATCGTGAGAATAATATGTTATCAAACATCAGACAGTGTACCTTAAAAATTGAAGTTGATCCTTCTCAACATTAAGATAATAAATAATTAATTTCACCACAAACGATCGAGGCTCATTTTCAGAACGTCATTTCAAGAGACGAGATGTATTTCCTGATACTTTTCTTAAACATTTTGTGCGCGATTCAAACAATATTTGCCTTATGTTCCGAAGATGGGTCATGTTGCAAGAACTTTGAATGTGATTACAATATACTGCAGAAGTTGATTCAACTTGAGGAGAAATCTTCTCAACAAAACAAGCAAATAGCATCACTGCTTCGAGAACTCAACGGTTAGTTTTTATTAGTTAGTTTAATTAAACATTCTGTCGATGATTCTCATAGAATAACATTACGTTGAACCTGAGTTAATTTTAGAATATCGGTAGATCATCTTTCCATTATAATCTGTTTTAATTGTTTATAATATAAAATGTGTGAGTATCCATTTATGAAAATTATCATGAATAATTTTGGATGGGAAATTATCATTTTAGGAATAAACATATATGGAACATGCTTCCTTATAACCCGAATAAGTAATAAATATAGAAATCAATTATTTTACTTTTAGTTCACAACGTTGGATTTAATATTTTCAATTCCTTAACTTAATAAAACCGCGGTTTATATAGTTATTAATGTATTTATGAAAATATTTAGCAAACATTTATTTGTGGTATTTATCGATCCTAACATATCTTTAAAAACAATGGGGCTAACTTATTGTTTTTTCATGTATGATATTTGGGAGTTAACACAAGATGCAATATTTTATAAATGGTGTAACAACGAGTGTAAATATTAAGGCTAGTGCTCACGGGATAAATTTCTTTTGATCTGACATGCATTTTCAATTTATTAAATGTTTCTTTCATTTTAATTGTTTTAAGTCAGTTAACATTTTTTTCATAATGGTAAGCTATTTATTTGTGTTTTTATTATAAACTCAACTCAAATCATTTATTTGTAAATAAAGGCCTCCGGCCCAAAATACATCATAAGGTATAACATATAATAAAATGTCAAGTAGTTGTATATTGTGAAACTTAAGTATCATTAATTATATTCATAAGTTGATAGATGTAAATAGATATATTTTTAACAATGTCAGGGTTTTGAGAAGACAAAAGAGCATAGAAATCTTGAAGTTCTGTTCCATGTATATACCAGCTAAATAAATACATTTGTCTAACAGTATCATATTTAACACATTTAAAAAAGGCATGGTACTCACAATCAATTACATTAGCATTATTAAACTGTTGGCAAAAGTTACATATACGATTTTCTTTTATAACATTATTATATCTACCTAATTCAATATTCAGCTTGTGATTTGAAAGGCGAAACTTTGACATAGTAATTCTATATTTTAACTGAATATCCATAGTTAAATATTTTTCAACAGTAAGTAGGCTTTTAAAGTTATTATAGTGATCACATCTACTAGAGGATTCAAGAGCTGTTTGCCAGTCTAGTGTACAATAGTTAACAACTCTTTGTTTAAACATGGTAATAAAAGCATTGACATCGCCAACATCTTGACTTATCCATATAAAACTGAATCCATATTTATACAAAAGTGTTCTAATTTTGGTTGCCCAGCAGTTTCTACCGGCATCATCTAGAGATTTTAACATGTTATAACATTGCTTTGGATATCTATGTGATGGCATGGTTAACAAATTACACCAATATCGAATACAATTTATATAATATGTAGTACATAAAGGTGATCTACCACATTCACCAAGAACCATACATGTATTAGTAGTTCTACGTACATATAAAATACTTTTACAAAATTTATTATGAATAGATTCTATTGTATCTATATATTCATAGCCCCAAATTTGAGATGCATAACAAAGTATCGGTTTGACCATGGAATCAAAAATCTTAAATGAATCAACAACAGAGAAATAACCAAAAGGTATTTGATAAGCCTTTATGGCAAAGAGAGCTCTTTGCGCCTGAGAAACTAACTTAGAATGAGCAGATGACCATGACAAACTTGATGTAAGTAAGATACCCATGTACTTATACTGAGAGGTAATATTGATTTGTGTCCCACGATACGACCAGTGTTCATATCGACGAAGAGGACCTCCATTTCGAAAAACCGTAATTTCAGTCTTATCCATATTTATTTCCATCCCAGTATCACAACAAAAGTTGTCAATAATATTTATTTGCTGTTGAAGCTTAAATATTATATTATTATATTGATATATAACTTCTATGTAACAATGTCTACAATGTCCTGTTTAAGTACGGAAACGTTTAGCGACCACCCCTATATGTTAGTTAAAACAGAATGTTTGACAATTTATTTAATACATATTATATACCTAACCAATTTTTACAAACTTACTTGATCTGAAATATTTATCTAGTATTATCTACAGCACCTGCATGTTGGTAAAAACAGAATTTAAGACAACTTATTTAACACACAATATATATTTGACCAATAATTACATTGTTTTTAGATCTTGAATATATATCATTTACTCAATCTGCTGTTAATATTGCTTGATTCAAATTTATGTGACATTTTTCTGTTCATTTATATGTATTTGTTATATATAATTGAGGTTTTTTATATGCATACCTCTATCATTACACAATATAACATAACATATTTTACAATTTATATTTGATAATGAGGACAGAAAAATCTCGAACAGCAAAAAGCCTTTTTAAAGATTATATATAAAACATTTGATTAAGGCTTTTTGTATTCCAAAGATTAAGGAATTTTTAAATAATTGTGCTTCAGATACTGTTACAAGATAAAGATTATATAAAAATGACAAACTCCGTTAGTTGTTAATAAGCATAAAATAAGCTAGTGAAGTGGTACCTGATGTAAATAAGTAATCATAGAAACCATTATATTTTTGTAAGATATATAATATATATAGCTTTAAACGACCACTTCCGACAAATTTACGATTTTAAATGTATGTACATAGGATGGTACATGAAAAATATTAAATAAAAAGGTATATTCGGCCTCTTGATGTTATTATAAGAACAGAGATCCCAAAGCTTTAGTGATATTCGTCTTATATGATGTGTGACACGAGAAAAGTCAAGACATTTGTATTTGATAAAGGAAGCAATTAAATCAAGTTATGTTGTAAATCATATATAATACGTATTTTTTTGTAATCTATCGTACGTTTTTATCTTATAATGCAAGATAAACTACTTTTAACTTTTTGACAAAATGAAAAAATAAAACACTTACATCTTTTTAAATATGTAATTCTTTCCTGAAATCATATTTGCATATAACAAACATACTATAAAACTGTAAAAAAAGTCATTTGATATATATCATATAGGGGTGGTCGGTATACGTTTCCGTATTTAAGTGCGATCTTTTAATCAAGTTTTAAACATAATGTATGCATTGTTACTTTGGTTTTAGATGCCAAGGATAAGCTATCTGTTTTGAACAACACACTTTCAATGCAACACAAATCTGCTGACGGGGGCACTTACACTCGTTGGGGACGAACGGAGTGTCCGGCTTCGGCTGAACTGGTTTATAAGGGTTATGCGGCTGGATCCCACTATACCCACCATGGTACGGCATCAAATCTTTTGTGTCTTCCAGAGGATCCTATTTATCAAACATTCACAGCAGGGTTCCAGGTAGGAGGAAGAGTTTATGGGGCGGAATACGAAACAAGCGATCAACCTCTATGGCGTCATCTTCACGATCACGAAGTTCCGTGTGCCGTCTGCCAAATTCCACGCAAAAACATTCTTATGGTTCCCGGTAAAAATGTTTGTCACAAAAACTACTTACTTGAATACAAAGGGTATTTGATGGCAGAGCACTATGCCCATAATGCTGCATCAGAATTCGTTTGTGTCGATGAAAACCCAGAAGTCTTACCAGGCGGCCATGGTAGTCAAAATGGAAAGTTGTTTTATTTTGTTCAAGGGCAATGTGGGTCTCTAAAATGTGGTCCATATAAGGACGGATTGGAGCTTACATGTGCCGTTTGTTCTTTCCTACCGTATGCCAACTCAACAACTCTTAAACCGTATATTTAATATGACAAACACCCACTGCCTTAAATAGCACGCTTAAGTCGCAAAATGATAAATATATATGTTCTTCATAAAGGATTTCAATCTTATTTAATATTACTTTTGTAAATGTCATAGATAAGAAAAGTATGTTTAAACATATTTATGCAATGTTAATTCTAGTACACATTGAGAGTACAGTCATATTTAACTTGACTTGAATTACAATAAAATGTATGATATAATATAATATATTACGAATACTTGCGTGTTTGTACTATCTATTTATTTTATAACACTTGACTTTGAATTTATAGCGTAGTTTTTATTTTTTGTAGTTATCAAACGGAGAACATGATTACTTTTTTCTTGTAATATGATTGCTTATTAACTATTGAACACACATGTTGTTAATAATTGTTAAGGAACAAAATTTGCAAATCTAAAATTGTCGAACATCAATATATAACACAACATTATGGTTTGGCTATTTTTTATATTCTATTTATATATTATACATGTATGATATTGAATATTTTTATAATAAGTTGTTTCCTTCCGTATCAAAAAGATATAATTTATAGGATCTCAAAAGTTTTTTTATTTTACTGTAACCATAATCTCTTTTTTTCATAATGTGTTTTACAACACGCACATCGGCAAAATAATCTTGTTTTTTTTGTAGCCAATTTAAGTCGTATTGTCGCCACGAAAATTTAACTAAAACTCCGTGAGTCGGATATGTCGCCTTGTGAACAATATAGTTTAGGAGTAATGGCCAGGACAAACATGAAATATGAAAATTAACAAAGGGCAATAATAATAAAAAATAATAAGTGCAGTGCAGCAGTTTCGGTAAGATCTATCTATGAAGTTCTATTCTATGAAGTTTCAAGTCCATATCTTTTATAATTTATGAGAAATGGCCTGGACAAAAATAAGGTATGCAAATTAATAATTCAATAAAAGGGTAATAACTCAAAAATTAAAAATTCAGAGTAACAGTTCTTGTACACTGCACTTTTTCTTAATGAGATCTATCATCCTATAAAGTTTCATGTCCATAGCTTTCATACTTGAGGAGAAATGACCTGGACAAAAATAAAGTATGAAAATTAACAAAGGGCAATAGCTCAAAAAATAGAAATGCAGAGTACCGGCTCTTGTACACTGCATGTTTTCTTAATGAGATCTATCATTTTAAAAAGATTCTAGTTCATTGCTTTTAAACTTTTGGAGAAAATAAAGTATGAAAATTAACAAAGGGCAATAACTCAAAAATTGAGAAGTGCAGAGTAATGGTCCTTGTGCAGTGCACTTCCAGTTATTGAAAGAAGCATGCATACCAAGTCTGAAGTCAATCCGGCTTGTTTGGTTCCTTCTAGGTGCCCTACTTGGGTGTGTCCGGGGGCGGCGTCCTGTGAACGTTGCCTTTGCCTTGTTGATTTTTATTCTTGTTATTTTATATTGACTGAGTTATGCTCCGAACAAGTTTTACGGGAACGCCGACACCGCCGACGCCGCCGACAACTCCGGCAAAAGTAACCCCTGTATATTCCCTTTTCAAGGCGACACAAAAAAGATAAAGTACAGAGTTGTGTAAGCGAAATGACGACATAATTAGGCATTACGACATACAATTTGGTTTTTATCGTATGTTTCGCATATTTGCATCCTCTTTACCAAAAACAAAAATATGACATGGCGATCATCTGCCACCATATGTTTGTATTTTCACGTTTTGTCTCTAGCAACGTACATGCTCTAACAGAAGTAAATGTACAACACCATTGTCTAAAGAAACTTTCGGAAGCGATAAACTGGACTGATTCGCTTGTTATTGTTGTATAATTATGCAAGCTGTAATTACTTCGCAAACATTTCTACAAAGGTAAGTATAGTCAAACTGGCTTTTAAGGTTTAATTGTAATAAACAGGTGTCTATAAAAGGATTGCCGACACAAAAGAAAGTGTTTTATAATGTGTACATCATCAAAATCATTCGTTATTGTTCCTACTCAAATAATGATTAATTGACAAAAGTTTGATAGAGAAAATTTTTTAATAATGTTCGTAAAGAACCTGTGGCCGTCGCTTTCCAATCGCATTAAAGATTCCCTTGAATCTAAAACCATTTAAGTCTTTCCAATGAAAAGTTTTATCACTAGTCAAGAGCTGGGGAACTCACAAGACACAAGCATAATTTTGTAGCTCCGTGACTGAAACCAAATAGGTCAGCATAATCGTTAACGGAAAGTCGTCGACCTTGTGAAATTCCGTCGGTTACATACAATCCGTTGTTCCACATCTAAGATATGCATGTATGTTCTATACTCGTTTCCCTCAGGGTGAATTTACCGTCATCAAAAAAAAGTGTCCATGATCACCTAATTGCAATATCCGCAACTCTCTTGTTGAATTCCTCGGATTTATGAGATCTGTAAACTTCTTCCCAATAAATATCTTACACAGCTTTAAAATTATTCATTAATTATTTAGTGAATATCATATTTAATATAAGAATTTACCGATTTATAAATGACATTCTAAAATGACGGGACGACCAATAACGTCCACGATCCCGGAAAAGCATATGCATAACGAAAGGCACCATGGAAGAAGAAGCAGTTTTACCTCGTCCAAGAATTTTTTAAAAGAAAATTTTTGTTTCTTTATAATTTATAGTTGGTCCACAAGTCAAAATATATCATTTAAAAAGACAAATATTGAAGGATATCTTGAGAACGTAAGATGAAACAAACTTTGATCGATCAAGTGTGCATTTTCTTGACAAAATGCGATAAATAAGTATAACACGTTTGCTTGCAATGCATATTTATGATGCGTAATTCGTCTGGCAAAGTCCCTAGTGAACACACCGAACAACCCTTACCATTCAATGAAGTGTTTTCAAAATCTACTTTCTTTATGCAATAATTTTAAGTCGTGACAGTATGTTTCACACATAGATTAACATTGTTTTATAAAAACCTAAGGTTTTATGTCATATAAGGACGTATTTCTAGACAAGAATTTTATAATCTAACGTACAAGACTGTTGTCGTCGCCTGATTATATAAATTGTGTTTAACTATTATAATTAATGTTATCATCACCTTATTAGTACATCAACTGTGTTTAACAAAAATTCATATTACCTGAATACACGGATAAAAGTGTTCTATTTATGTCTTTGAATGTTATACATAATTCTTGTAATTTGATGCAAATTAAGCATCAAGAAGTAAAACGGTAACCATTTGCCGTTTTTTCATTTCATTTCATTTTATTTATATTTTTTTTCAACTTATCATTTGGGCTAAGTCAAATAATAATGTATATTTCGGAAACGATTATGAATAATTGTATTTATTTTTATTAAAAGTTTTGTCAACAGATATTCGACACCTTCAAAATTATTTAAATGTGATTTGTCTTTTACAAAATTAATACTTTTGACATCAAACGTCTCTGTCGTCTTATGTAATTTAAACAATTATATTTCTTTAATATGTCTTATAACAGCACGCGATTTTAATCCGTTGTTTATATTAGAATTATATAGATTTCACTAAGTGTTTTTAAACATGTACTTTAATCTTTAATTATTTGATTGTTTAGGTAAGGGGTTATTTTATGTAATTATATGATAAAGTAATTTAACAGTTTATTGCAGTGTTTGTTTCTTTCCCCTTCAAATGTAGCATAATTTTACTGATGATTAAATTCTACATTTAACTACATTGCGACTGGACATAATTATTTAACGGACTTGGTTTTTATGCATAACGGGCTAAGAAATAATGCTCTGAGCTATTTAAGCCAGTACCAACAATTTGTCTTCAAAAATTCAAATTCATTTGCTCAGCAGCCTGTTCTTCATAAATCGGCATTTTTATTGTGAGAATGACATTTTAGTAACATAAAAAACCTTTAAATGCTTTTGATTCAGATCGGGCTATTGAATGTACTTAATTATAAGTAAGAATCAACTTTTCAGAACATTTCTTTATTATTGTTTTCGTAATTTTCCGTTTTGTTTTTTAAGTTGATATATATTAAATTAATAGCAATTAAAACAGTAGAAAAGTTTATGTGATTATACATCCGACTATAAAGTTTAAGGATGAATACGGATAATATTTATTTTATTTTATTTAAAGCAAATTTTATCTATGTTCTTTACGGATGTTTTTTTTTTCCAAACATTATTGACGTCGTCGAATTCGTTTATGATATATGTGAAAGAGGATTTGTTAGGAGGTTGTAGTTAAGAAGGGTACTTAAACTGGTAAATTGTTGCTAAAACTTTAGTGTGTAATAGGAACAATTATGTCTGTAAAACAGCTTTTTTAGCGTAAGAAGATTCGTTTGTTTTTGTATGCTAGATTCCTAAATTATTGATTCAATGTTACCTATAGCTACCAGCTAGCATATCTACATTTACGTCTCTTACTTCAATAAATATTTAATTCGACAATTGAAAATAACGATCATAAAAATGTTATTGCTATAATTGTTAATGTGTAAAGAATTATGAAACAAATATCAGAAATTATTCTTTTTTTAAAAGTTTTTGCAATTGTCATTTGTCTAACTTTTGATATCAGGTGCCAGATTAAGTATTTGAACTTGTATCTCGATTAATTTAAAGTTTTAAAGTTAAAGAAAGACAAAGGGGTGCAAAAATACAGTAGGATAAGCTAAATAAAACAATCACATGTCAAGCTGTATAGAACGGGCAGCACACTGCGTGCGTAATCGATTGTTTCATGTTTGCCATCGTCAAATGTCGCTAAACCGACAGGAAAGACATTTTTCACAGTGGGAGAAAAGCCGTTACTACTAAAATTGTAATTCAAACACCTCCACATGATTTTGATTGATTTTATTGTACTTTAAATTGCATTATGTTTACAATCCCTTGTTTCTATAAAATTCAAATGCCAGAGTGTCTTAAATAATCAAAGTTTACAAGGTTCATCGATGTCGTGTGAACATTAAGAAATACTCTGTGAATAGTTAAG